AGGTTGGGCAATCCTACTTCCGTAGTGATACTGCCTTGGAAACCCAAGGAGGGGTCGCTATGAGTCGGGTTTGACTCGACGGCACATAACAACAATAACATAACAAGGCAAAATTTAGGATAACTGTTTCCCTAATTCCATTAATTCAGTGTCAGAATGACTTTCTACCCACATTCTAATAAGTTCTTGCCAAAGAACTGTCTGTTCTTTATGCTGATGAGAATTTAGCACCTGTCTGATATTTCAAAAGAAATTTTACATGGTCTTAATTTTATAATTAAAAATATCAAATATTGACTAAAAAAATATATAACTATTTTAGAACATAAAAATAAGGTGCTAGAATTCAATGATGAACTATATGGGGAAGAAATAAACCAAAGATGAGAGGTGAACAATAAAAATTTAGTTATGAAAATCATGGACATACACTGCAGTACAATCAATTAAGAGCCAAGCTCACAGAAAAAGTGTTACTAGTAAACTCAATCAAACTTGAAAAAAAATTAAAATGCCATCAGAAAATTTAATAGAAGTTACATAAATGAATAAATGTTTTATCTCAAAGCTTCAATGAAGAGGGAGAAAAAATAGCTAGGCTAGACAAATGTTAGATTTAATACATAAAATGAAACACCACCACTTATTTAGGAAACTAAACCAAACCAAATTCATTGCCATTGAGTCAAATCTGACTCATAGTAACTCTACAGGACAGAGCAGAACTGTCCCATAGGGTTTCCAAGGATGTAAATCTTTACAGAAGCAGACTGCCTCATCTTTCTCCTGCAGAGTAGCTGGTGGGTTCAAACCACTGACCTTTTGGTTAGCAGCCAAATGCTTTAAGCACTACGTCACCAGAGCGCCTTATATAGGAAAAGGAGCATTATATTCAAACTGATGAAGCTGAAAAACAACTTTTCCAAAGTAATACAAAGGTAGTTCCTGCAGGTTTCTCTCCAACCTCACTGTAATTTTTAAAACTTACTATTATCACAACAGTTAAGAACCTAAGAATTTCACTTCATTCTCCACAACTTAAAATGAAGGGAAACATTTTTTTGAAAGAGACAGGAGGTCTGATAATCCCCACATCAACTTGAGGGCATAGACTCTTCTACTTTAATGTAATCCGATCTTCTCTCTACTTAGTAAGGAATGTCACATCTAGAGAATCAGGCACTCAAAAGAAATGGGATCCTAGCACAACCTCAACGCTCAATGCATGTTGGTAAAAACTCTTGCCCTTAAAAAAATGGAAAAGAAAAACTGAAACCCACACAAACACACTATTTCAATTTAATTTTATTATGGAAACGAAAGTAGCAACAGAAAATGGTAGCAGGATATTTGATAAACTCAATTAGCAGACGGATCAAATTAAGAGAGCACATGTGATTATGACCTCAGGAGTTAAAGATGCAATTTTCCATATTCCTGAGTCTAGATTTCTAACACAAATGCTGCCACCACTTGCTGCATATTATTATGTATTATCTTTAATGGTCCCTAACAATCTGCCATACAACAGGTACATCCTTAAGTTTTACTTATCTTCCTCTGCAGTATAATTGCTTCTCCATCAGAGAAATCAAAAATAAATTCTCTAACATGATTCACTCAGAACAGGCATTAAAAGCCACATCAAAGCATCACTTTACTAATTAATCATGGTCATTAAATACCATGATTATTTTTCTTCTAAAACACAACTGATACTGTGCCATCATTTTTTATTATAGTACCTTAGAATAATTCCAATAAAGAGCTCTGCTTATATGTTCTCAATAGTCTCATGCTACTGAAAGTGCTAATTTGGCCATGTCTGGTAAGATTCAGATTGAAGGAAGTGCTTCACAAAATAAAAGTCATAGCATTGTTTAAATTAATGGTTAATTTATTGTTTCCCTGAGTGAGATAATGATAAGTGATCTCTTAAATTTTACACACTAAATACAAGCAGCCCATTTATGAGTGTATCACTGACTCCTGGATATGTATGCTACCAAGAATCACACTATCACATTCCGGAGATTCTGCTTTTATACTGTGAATAATGGACTCTGAGCCAGTGGTTGGCTAATAAATGTGAAGCTCTCATTTTGATTGGGTTTGTGTCCTATAATATTCATACACATACGAACATTCACACCTCCACTTTAGGTAAATTACAGACACAACTGCAGATACTCAGTCTTGAGATACCATATTGGACAGGCACAACACTAGCAAAGAATATTCAACAATTGTTATAATACTAATATGCAAGGTTATACCAATATTTTCCACTAAAATTAACTTTTCTCCATTTGCACTCCCTTCCAAAACAAATACACTATGCTCCCCATGTTGATCGAGTTACTTCTTAGTGTTTAGTAGCTATATGGGTTTTCTTCTCATTAAAATTTATTCCCCAGGTTATTTCCTTTTCTTCCTCTTCAGTGAGTAGGTATTCCAAAAATGTGACATCTATTAAATTCCTAAGTAACTCAACACTTACTTGGCTTTCTGAATCCACACACAGTAGTCTGAGATGTAGAGATCATTTAAAATGTAAGCTGGATCGTTTTCCTGAAATATTTTGTGAATATCCAGGAGACACTTTAAAACTGCACTTTTACCTGAAAGAAATTTCAAAACATCAAGTCATCAATAAGAAAAGAACATCTGATTTTTCTAAACTGAGAAATCCATACATTTAAGTGGTAATATCTTTAAAGCAGCTCAAATTTTTAATCTTTTTTAAGAATATTTTTAATATTCTCTTACTACATGAAAATACATCAGCCTTACTAGGACCAAACCCTTTTATTGTTTCCTGAAGAAGTGTGAATAATCTTTATGTCTGGAATATTACTGTAGCTGATTAATTGCAGTTACCATAAAAACAACTAGGTACAATTTAACAAAAAGGAGTTTAAGTTTTCTTAACTAAATGAAAGGATTATAAGAATATTTAAGTGCATCATAATTTTAATTAGATAATGTTTCTCTAATTCAAACTTTTAAAATACCAGGGAGGAAAACAATTTAACTTGGTGGTTCCTCATATAGTTCAACGTAGATTACCATACAACCCAGCAATTCTATTCCTGGGTATATATCCAAATGCTTAAAAGCAGGGACTCTTACAGAGACTTGTACGCCAATGTTCACTGCAGCACTATTAACAACAGCCAAAAGGTGGAAGTGTTCATAAGCAGATGAATGGATAAACAAAATGTAGAGTTATCCATACAATGAAATATTAAGTATTTATATAATCCTATGACATGGATGAACCTTGAAAATATTATACTGAGTGAAATAACCCATACAGAAGAACAAATACTACATGATATTTACTTAAATGAAATACCTATAAAAGGCAAATACATAGAAACAAGTTTCTTAGTGGTTACCAGGGATGTGGGGGATGTACAATTGGAAGTTATGGCTTAAGGGGTACTAAGTGTGTGTTCAGGGTGATATGAAACATAGGGAAATAGACAGGAGTGATGGTCGCACAACACAGTGACTGTAATTAATGCCATTGAATTGTACACTTAAAAATGGTTAAAATGGCAAATTCTGTGTTGTAAGTATTTTACCACAATGAAAACAAAGTAGAAAATTAGAATGTTTTATTTCTTTTTAAAATTTTTATTGTAATTTGGATGGAAGTTTATGGAGCAAATTCATTTTCCATACAGCAGCTACATAAACTTTGACTCATGACATTGACTGCAATTTCCCACAGTTAACAGATCCCCCCCACTTCCTCCCCATAGTTACTGCTTCCCTATGTCCTTCCCTCTCATGCCCCACAAGCTGTCTCCCTGTGCACCTAATGTAAATGTTCAGCTCATATGCCTGTCTTTTTTTTGGCTGGAAGTCAGAAGAGTAGGTTCAATTCCAGACTTGTAGGGCAGCTAGGGGCCACAGTCTCAGGGATTCCACCAGGCTCTATCAGACCAGCAAATATGGTCCTTGTTTTTTTTTTTTTAATGATTTTGAGTTTTGCTCCACATTGTTCTCCCACTCTATCCAGGATCTCCCACAAAAATCCCCTTCCGAGTGGTTGACAATACTAGGGGGGCACCATCTAGTTCTTCTGGTCTCACAGTCATATAGGCAGAGGATCGAATAGTGTAGCAGTCACTGGGACTAATTGTTTCCATGTGTCCTTGGTTTTCTTCATTCCTCTTTGCTCTGGATGAGGAGAGACCAATCACTGCATCTAGATGGCTGCCACTAGATCCCAGTTGCCACTCACAAAAGTAAGATGTGGAACAATGTTTTTGTGTAATATGTTAAGCCAATTGAGCTTGATGTCCCCTGTGATCATGGCCCCGACCCCGCAGGTCCAACTATTCACTCCCTCTGGGTAGCTGGCTGTGGCCAAGAAGTGACTACAGCTTTGTCCCTTTACAAATACACTTACAGAGTTCCGGTAAGATGGCAGACTAGGCAGAAAGACTGCACAGACCCTCTTCAACAAAGAAAAGGGAAACCAATTAACACAGACACAAAAGATAATCGTGGAACCCTGAGCCTTGAAGGGAAGGATATAGAAGTGGACTAAACCCCAACTAGCAGAAGAATTTGTGTGAAAATACCAAAAAAGAAGACATATGGAGCTGCGGTCTGGCAGCGATCCTGGGAGATCCTAATAGCACAGACAGCTTGGAGAGTGCCGAGTGGTGGTAGGACCTAAGAATTAACCTAAAAAATCAGCCCCGCTAGGCAGGGACTGCACGGAAGATTGCTCTGGTGACAGGGAAATAAACAGAGAAGGCAAAGAGAAAGGCAGGCTGTACTGTGGACTTTTGCCTGTCCGGAGGGCACCGCCATTTTGAATGTTTACAGGCGGCTTGACCATTTCGGATATTAAAAGAGACAGCGCTCTCCAAGATTCCAGGGGCTTAAGAACAGGTTCTGCTTCTTAGCAACCCCAAGGACACTTTGGACCTGCACAACTGAAATGGTGTGACATTCCTCTTGTTATGCTTATACCCCACACCCACTTGGTGAATGGAGGTGCAGCCATGCCCCCAGTCCCACCCATCTTCTAGGCCCGCAGGAATGCCATCCCAGTCTGTGTCCTCAGACGGAGCCTGGGTGCCCTGCCCTGTCCTTAACCAATTATTTGTCTCTTTCTTTATTCTTATTTTTCGTATTCTTTTTTCTGGTGTTTAGTTTGCTTGTATTTGTCTGTTTAAAAACTACTATTATTACTAATACTTTTGTC